AACTTTAAGGTTAATTTCACCATGGTTAATAGAGGTTAATATTAACCAAGAATGGGATTATTCTGGTTGCATTTTAACCAACCCCTAATTTTAGGGTTAAATTAACTAATTCATTTTTACAGTGTAGTCACTCCAAAATTTCCCACTATACGGTACAAACAATTAAACATTTGAATCATTCTAAACAAGCAAGGATATACATGTAGTAGTAACAGTTAATTAATTGAAGTTACCTCCACATGTTGCAATTGTTCTAGTGACTTAAGGCGGTATTACAATATGACATTAGGCCAGCGTACCATCAATTTTTAATCAAAAGTGTGGGCGATTTGACCTTTTGACGCATGCTTTCCGTTGGAATAGAACCAGATTCTATTCCAGCGTCAACGTAACGTCAGGACTAGCATAATATTGTAATTCCGCCTTTAGAGAGGCTCCCATGATCTTGCATTGAGTATTATGCTCGTGAATATCATTTGCATCTCATTACATTTGTCAATAATCATGTTTTACACAAATTTTAGAGTAATTTTAAAAATTCATAAAAATCCAATTTTGATCGGAATCAACTCAAAGTTGCTACACAACATAAGTACATGTATATGCATCAGAAAATATTATAAAAAGTAAGATTTCTCTCTGTTTCAATTTTTGCAAAATTTAGTACAGGGACTTCTACCCGATTTTTAAGCAACTTAAAAATATTATAAAAAATCCAATTTTGACCAGAATCAACTCTGATTTGTAAAATTCGTAAAAAAATTTATATATTTGGATCAGAATCAACTCAAATTTTCTACACAACATAAGTACATGTATATGCATCAAATAATGTAAAAAACTCTCTCCTTTTCAAATTTGGAACTAAGACTCAGTACAATTATAGTACAGGGACTTTTAGCCGATTATGGAGCAAATTAAAAAATTTATAAAAAGTCAAATACTTGATTAGGATCAGCTCAATCTTTCTACACAACATAAGTACAGTGTAGTACATCTCTTTATTAGTTTTAAAACTAACAGTAACTGTTGACTGTTTATTATGTACAAATATGAACAGAAAGATTAGACAGAGAAGTTGCTAAATATGCTCAATAAATAATAGATTAATACACTAACTGTAATATCCTTTCGCATTGTCCTAGTTATCAGGAAATGATCATTCTCTCAAATACCATCAGCTAACAGTGCCTTACTGGGACTCTCTAGGGATATACATGTACATGTATATGGGAGAGAGAGAAAAAGACAATATTACATATTGTACTGTATTGCGCTGTTTCCAAAAAGATACGTACATACAGTACATTGGATATGTGCATGAACAATGTACTGTAAACAGGTAATTTTACAATGCATATATATGTAGAATTAACTTTGACAGACTTCATAAAAAATTTTTTGCATTAAAATAAAAATTAATATCAAAAAAAAGCAAGTCAAAGGTAAATTCC